TTAATTAATAAATTAATTAATATTATCAAACAAAAATCATTTTAAAATAAATAACTATTTAAAACATTATTGTAATTATTTACATTTTAAATATATGTTGAAATATAAATAAAAATCACACAAATATAAATAATAAAATAAAATAGAAAGGTTGAGAAATGGGCCTGATTTGAGTAAATTTGAAGGTGTCAATAGAAGAAAGAAACCCATACCCAAATAAAGGGTGTTCAATGATCCAATGCAGCAGGTCAGGGAGAGTGTACAGTGGAACGTATGCTTTGGAGCGCCTGATAAAGATCTGAGGGCTGAGAGTGCAAGGGTGTATGATTGACCACATGGAGGAGCACCACATGGAATCCATATGTTCATCAAAACGGATGGTGACAAGTGTCACCGACATATTAGTTAGAAAAACATGGTTATTATAACAAAAACAAAATAATTGTCCAGCAGATAAACATGATTAGAGGAAAAATCTCTCTCTCTTCTCTTATCTCTCTCACAATTTCTCTGTCTTTCTCTCTATGTTTGTTCCTCCACTAACAGAAAAAAAAACAAAAAAACAAATTAATAGAAGATCTGGCACGATGGTTGAATATAAACATGGCGACGGTGATGAAGAACATCACGGGGCGCCATGAGGCCTCACGGCAACATCGTCATAATAGTCTTCGATTTCAATTTTTTTACATTTACTGATTCATCTCTTCTAATCTATGGATTAATTTTATAGATGTTGCGTGATTTTGCCTAGATCCTAAAGGGGGTGACCGAAACCCTAGCGCTCAGATATGATGGAACCTTGAGATTTCTGGTGAGATCTTTGATTTATGTAACGAAAGCTCTTCCTCTTCGTCTTTCTGTTTGCGATTATATGTTTATTCTTCTTCTTCGCGAATTTCTGAAGGGGTTTTGATAGTTAGGAAAATGATGTTAGCTTAGGGTTTGTGGTTCTGCGGCTGTGTGTATTGAACATGGATCTTGCTTTGTTTTGATTTCTGAAGGGACTATTTGTGATGGAAGATGATGAACAAAACTAGGGTTTCTGTGTTCTTGGCTGCCATTTCTGTATTTTTTGTGTAAACTGTGTGTTGTGCTTGCTGATTCTGATTTTATGTACTATCCTTTTCAGCAACTTTTTGTTGAGATGAGACATAAAACTCTTTTTATTGTCTTGTTATTTACTGTGATGATTGTTAGGCCCTTTCACTGAGTTGTACTTGTGTAGTAAATTACTTTTTGAGTTTTTAACTTTACTGTGAACCAAACAAATCCCTTTTTTATGCATTTGTTTGAGATTTTTAGTAAAGGACTAGGCCCATGATGGATATTGTAGTTCTGACTTTTGTTGACATAAAGTAATAGGAGGCTTTTAATTGTTGCTTGTGAATATGATTAAATGGAACTCCCTTAATTCTGATTCTTGTCACAAATCCCTAATGATGAAATGCAAAATACTTGCTTGGAAGCTTCTTGTTCTTGTCTCATTGGTTATATTGCTAACCATTTCCTTTCTTTTGTTACATGTGCAAGTTGGACAAATATTACATGGTCTGAGATTTGATACCACAACAACATATTAGTATGAGTTTTCTTTTGCAGCAATCATGATTGCACAACAGTACTGGTCTCTTGGGAGCAACTCTAGTTTTTTTTTTTTTGTATTTTAGGAACTTAGGTTTAGGACAATGTTTCATAACCTTGTATTTCTTAAAAAAATGTAAATCTAGCAACACATTTTATAAACTATACATTTGTAATCTTGAAGGAACCATGAATGAAGTTTAGGAAAAATTTCTTGATCCACAATCGTGTAAACTAACAAATTTTGCCAGTTGATGAAACTTGCTTGAAAACCTTTGATTCCATATTTCAAATTGTCATGCCACTTGATCCTTGTTTATTCTTTCAACAATTGAATCTAAAAAATCATAAATTAAGTAGAACATTAAGTAGAACTTTGGTCAAAAAGTTAACTTTCTAAAGTTGAATTTGACTTTGACCAAAGTCAGGGAACTTAATCATGTATGCCTTTGAACTCAAGCCATGTGTCGCACCGTGTGAAAATGAATGCGAACAAAAGAAAGATGTAGCAGTAAAGATTTGAGATTAAGCCATCAATTGACTTAACTTACTTAACGAAGTCGCCACCGCACTTTATTGTTTCCAAAGGGAAATGGGAAAAAAGAGAACAAAACCCACAATGAAATAAAAGATCAGAGATCGAGGTACGGGAGTCGGTTATGCAAAGGGAATGTATTAGCATCCTAAGCATCTACGGTACTCCTCAGAATCCACTTTGTTTGTTTTCTTTTAAAAAGGTGTGTTATCTAAAGGCTTACTTGCTAAAGGGAAAGAATGAATGATTATTTGCAAACAAAAGAAAATATTTTTTTATTATTTTTGCTCGCCTTGGGTCGTAAGACTTAGTGCCTACGTACTCCCTCGTTCAATGGGAAAGTCAGAGCATCGTAGTTCGTCTAGAAAAAACTTGTCTGTTGATTGATTTTAAACGAAGAGACAAGTTGTCATTTTTAGGAGAAAAATCTCGACTAATGGCCACAAGGTGTGGGAAATATGGACCCTGCGTCAGCAAGAGTGAGGGTTTGAGAACACCTCTAGTACTCAAGTGGAAAAGTCGACACCTTTATAACCATGGGGATAAGAGAATGTTGCTCGACTATAAATGAATCATGTCTAATCTTGGAAAAAGTTTTAAAGGATAAAAGGTGCTCGAGCGCAGGTTTGAATGAGTTGAAGTGTTTTCGTTAATTTTGAAAAATGTCAAAGTATGATTAAATGAATTGAAATTTGTTTAAAGAAAATAAGTTCTAAAAGAAAAGGCACTCGACAAAGTCGAGGTTTATTATGAAAGTGGTTCGAGTTTATAAACAAAGAAGATTTTTTGAAAAAAAAGAGAAGGTTTTGAAAATTAAAGAATGGGGGAAGATGAAGAGAGTATCCTATGTACAAGAGGGTAAAAGATAAGGTAAAGAGGATATGACCGAATAAGAAACTTATAGTTAACATGATAAAGTCAATACCATGTTCCCATCCCTTTGGGTTTAAATCCACGGACAGATAAATAAGCTAAGAGTATACCAAACCTCAGGTGAAAATAAATCACAAGCCGACGACATTAAAGAAACCCAAATGCAAGATAATACTCCAAGCATCAGATAAAACATATCAAATCATAAGTGAGAAGCGCAACACGTGAGAATAAATCACTGACAAAGAAAGCGTGGATCATGAGAGGAATCAGATAAAGCACAAAGGTGATGGATAAAGCTCACGGTACCGGATAAGGCTCGAGATATCAAATAAGGCTCACGGTATCAGATAAGAATCCCTGCATCACATGAAATACACAGACAAATCCAACAGCACGGGGAAACTTATTTAAAGCTTAAGTATAAATTACTGAACATTGCACTTGGTTAAGTATATATTTATAATAGATTCATGTAGGAATCAACTCTAAGTGGTCGGGCAAAAGTTATATGCGTCCGTACGATTTTCAAAAGTTAACTTGAATTAAAGTTTAAAATCGCAACGCAATGAAAAGAATATTTACATAACCTGGATTTATTTACAAGTGAACTGAATAAAATATAAAATCAAAAGTATTATGTACAATTATATATTTACATCACTAAATATTAAATCGAAATAGTAAAAATAAAATACAATAAAAAGGGAATGAAGAAAAATTATAGATGCGTTATGCGAGAATGAATGCTTGAAACAATTCTTGGAAACCTTCACAATAACAAACGCGCTAATAGCATAAAATGGATAAAAATGAAACCAAATGGAATTGCAACAACTAGAACATGTGTTAGTAATCACAAGGTATAAAATCGAAATGAAACTTGCATGATGCACATGAACAAATGAACGTTTCTCAAGCAAAAATCAGCATGGCATACATTGCGCTAAACGCATTTAAACTCAAGTAAACGCAACGTTGAACATGTTCATCAATTCACAAATGAAACAAGAAGTTGAGATTCACATTGAAGTATGAAAAATCAAGTTCAAAATGAGCTTTAAACCTTCAAATCAAATCCGGGCAACAACTATGCACATGAAACAAAGGTTTTAAAAAAATCAATCTCGAAAGTATTCAAAACAAGTGAAATACACAACGATGCTTACAACTAAATTTTCCTTTGAATTCCAATCGAATGTCATCATAATCTCCTTCAAATTTTCTCAAATAATATGAAAAAATTAAATTCAATCAAAATTTTAATTGAGTAAACTATTCCGGGCAGCAACTATGCAAACATGATAATGCTCAATGAAGTTCGTTTCAATTATGCTTAACATCAACGAAAATAACAAAATCATGTCGTAGTGGAATCAAACTTTACAAGACGACAAAAATGAAATAAAAACAACAACAAAACTCTTTCAAAATGACTCAAGTATCATGACATAACATTAGACTCTCTCACACATTCATCGAAACAAGCAGCAATATCAAGACTTAAATTGCTGTCTGAATTAAAGTCAAACATGAACACAACCATTGAACAACAATCTTCATTCTCTTATTCCAAATATCAAAATGAATGCAGCAGCCATTTACACAAAGAAACACGTTCAATAATTTGACATCACAATCAAGATTCATTCAAGCTTAATTCAAACAACATGATGCTCAAATCAAAGTTTCAAACAAACCTAACAAGATATCATGGTAATGGCACCGAACTTTATCACATTCGTAATTCCACACGGATTTAACGCGGCATCTCAACACATACAGTATAACGTTTACAACTCAATCAAGCCATTTTCTCTAGATTATCACAACTATTTCACAATAAAACACTTACTAACTCAAATCAAAACAAAATACTAACACAATCAGCAATTCAATATCAAACTAAACATATTTATTGGTAAAGCACAAATAATTTAGCAGTATAACAATTATCCGAACCTGTCGAGCAAAACAGTGGCAGAGGGAATCCAACAAAGGCTTGCGTCTAAGACCGAGCAGAGTTGCTGGAAATAGCGATACTGAGACAGAGCGGAGTTGCTGGAACAGTAACTCGCGGCTGGTTTGCTGTTGTTGAATCGGAAAGTTGAGTTGCTAACAGATTGTAAAGTGAAAGTTGTTGACTGTGGTTGTTATGGAAATTTGTTGCAGAGAGAAGAAGGTTGTGAGGCGATAACTCAGAGCTGCGGGACTGATGTTGAAGGATGTTGAGCAAACTGTGACGGTTGAACAAAAGGAGGATGTTGAGTGATACTTGGTAGCCACTGAGTATGGAGAAGTGCAGAGCACTTTCCGAATAAATGAACAGAGGGAGTCCAGCTGGGGTTTGAAGGTGGATTGTTGTTGTTCTGTGAGCTAGAGCCGAAAAAGAACAGAGTTTCGGTGGAGGTAGAGGAGGGTGAGTTCGATGGGGAGCTGGGAGGAGGAAGAATGGGTTTATGGCCAAAGGGAGAGGATGAATGGGAGAGTGAGAGAGGACTTGAGGTTGCTGAGATTGTGTGTGGCGCAGGAAAAAGAGAAAAGGGCCAGTGAAGGTTGAGTGTGTTGGTGATGAAGAGGAAATTGACCGAGGGAGTTCTATGATATTGTGTGTAAAAACAAAGATTGAAAGTGGCTGTGATATAGAAAGATGAAAAGGAAATTCAATTCTGTTTTATAATTTCTGTTCACTCTTTTTTTTCTTCTATCGATCCTCACTTTCTCTTGCAACCAATTAAAACAAAGCTTAGTTTAACATAGGGGTGGGCACCGGTTCGGGCCGGTTCGGGTTCGGGCCCAAACCCCCAATCCGAAGTTATCCACGGGTGGTATATTACGACCCAAATCCGACCCAATTATGATTCGGATTAGTCGGGTTCGGGTTGCATCGATTTCGGGTATCTATAGGATTAATTTCGGGTACCATTTTTAATGGGCTTATTGAAATATTAAGCCCAAATTCAGAATTTAGTAGTTTTACCCCCTTTTTTTTGTACAGTTTTCAAAATTTTCATTTAACTACTTAAAATTTCCAAAAAAAAAAATGACATACTCTATAATATAAATTCATAGTTAAAAAACATTACAAATTAACATAGTATCAAATTCAAATACATTACAAACTCCAATTCAAATACATTAAAAATTCCAATTTAAATAGATTACAAATTCCAATTTAAATAGGTATCAAATACATTACAAATTCAATTAAATTTAACAAAGCCTACATAGTAACACAACCAACATATAAACTCCAATTCTTTGAGATTAATCCATTCCATAAAATAACCGGGAAGCTTCTTGCACTCCTGCACTCCTGCATAAAAGCTATTTGTTCCGTATGAAACAGTCTCAAGCTAAACATGGACAAACAATTGCTAAACTAAATAGTATAGTAATTACAGATATTTATGGCACTTGCAAACATAATTAACAAAAAAATTAAAGTAAATTGGAACTACAGTATTTGACTTCATATGAACTATATGAGAGGTACTCACCAATTCTCACTCATGAACTATATGAAGTATATATTAGCATCTTTACTATTCAAAATTAAAACAACAGAAGCTGGGACACAAAATCTATTTCTTCTTTTCTTGCATCATGCCAACAACTAAAGCCCTTATGAATCTTGTCTAAAGCTATAATGACAGGACATGAAAGCAGTTCCTATATAAGATATATAAAAAGCATAAACCCCATTCCCTTCTTTAACATCCAAGTAGAGTAACTTAAAAGTCCATTTTTCAGTCATAATTTCACAGGCAGGCATAAATTAAAGAATAATAAGTCACACTTCTCATTTCAGAAGTCACACAATCAACAATAAAATAACACATTCACAAGTCACACTTCGCATTTCAGAACAGCATTCACAAGTCACAACTTCAAAAAGCAAAATCAAAACATTCAAAAATTAAACGCTACCTGATCTTTATCATCGTGACAGTCTGATGCTAATGTTTCATCCATCTGCACAAAGTGAAGTAGAAGCTTGATAAGTAATCTAAGCACTTACGGAACCAACTCTTAAAAGCTTGCTATCAAAGGGGAACAACCAAGCTAATTAAATACTACATCAAGCATCCCCATACTACTTGGTGAGACTTTAGCGCCCTGTAACCAAGTCACTACCGTAGTACTGCCTTTGAGAGCTGACGTCTCTGTGGCTGCACTCTCTGAGCCACCAGCAACCAAACCCGATGCCAATTGATAAGTATCTAAGCACTCAGAGAACCCGTCCTTAAAAGCTAGCAAGCAAGAGAGAAGAACCAGTCCCACTTCAATACTAGACCGAGCATCTCATACCACTCAATGTGGGAGTTGGACACTCTGTAATGCTCAGGTCTCTATCAGAACCAAACTCACCTATTTGTTAATAGGTCAGAAAACAATGTTACCAATCCAAGACATGTATATGATGTTGAAAGAACATATAGCATACCTTTGATTTTGAAACCGTCTTCACGTCAAAGTGTTTTTTCCACATCTGAAGCATCTTCTCGTGGACACTGGTGGAACGGATCTCATAACCCAACTTTATATATAATTTCAAAACAAATAAAACAAATCAGTATATCCAACTCAACTATACAAAGGAAGGGCATAATATAAGTATAAAAAGTTGATTGACATACCACAATAGTAGTCCTAGGTCCAGATAAAGCAAGTATTGTCTGCAACAAAGGCTCCAATAGATGTTCTGCATAAACCTTCAATGAAGTAAAACAAAAAGTAGGATGATGTTACAGAACAGAATAACATATAAATGACCATTTATAGTTTGTCAAATGAGTAAGTTTATTCGCACTACTTTGTATGAAAAAATACTTGTTCAACACTTACAACGTCGGTGCCAATAATGTAGTCAAATGGAGGATCAACATCCTTAATGTGACTCTCATCTCCCCATTGAAGCACCGAAACCTTGATTGAACCAAATGACTCTAGAAGCAGAAGATTTTTGTGTGAGATACTAATACTACCATAACTCAAATCCACAAAACACAATTACAAATGAATAAACACAATGGCAAGGTCCAACAACATTCAATTGAAATACTTCAACATAAATAAACGAGTAACAAATCATATGGTAAAAAGGATGGTTCATAAGTTTAAAACTAAACCGGGATTCTTTTGCATGACCCTTGAAGTATTACGATCGACGTTTCTTTGTAACAATGGCAAAACCTCCTCTTGGTTTGTGGAATATGGTACAAGTTGGTACATTATTATAAAATATAAATAAACTAAACACAACAGCTAACGATAATGGGATAAAAATAGTCCCACCCACATTGGAAATGTTAACAGCATAACAAAAGTCCTTCTAGCTTAAGCTGTCAACCCAACAAGCTAGCATAATCACACTTCTAAAGTTTGTGAGCAATAGGAGCAAGATTTATATAAGAGCAGCATAAAAGAAACAACGTGCTTTGGGAATGGATATGTACTTATATATGCTATTACAAATTACTAGTGTGCCGTCCTTTATCCAGTTAAGTGGTTTTGAGACCCTTTTTTTCCTAAGCTATTTCCATGGTTTGTGAATTGTGTACAAATTTGGACGAACCAATTCGCAAAAGTACTGCAAACCAGTTCTTGCAAATCAATTTGCGGCTCTCTGGTCACAGTAGCAAATTCTGTGATTATTATAAGGAAATCTAGGTTTTTACCCTTATCACTTTACTTCATCTTCATGTACACCCCAAAATTATAAGGCATGCATTATATATGCTTTAATAATTGATAATCTAAAGAGTAAACCAAACGTAAAAAAAACAACTTAAGACCTAACAAATTCATTCATGAAAAAATGTCGAGACTTTCGAGCATTTGAGGAAGATATTCAACTTACAAGAAACTTGGCAAAAACAAGTGATGCATCCCATACTGTAGTTCCGTGGTGCTTAGAATTGGGGTCCTATTCAAAATAAAACTGTCAGATTTTATAGAAAGACATATGTATACAACAACAACTGCACTAATTTGTAGCATTAAAATTGCAGCACTCAAGTTTCATTGACTTATTGCAGAAAAGAACACTTTCCACAAAGCACTGTCCACTCTAAAATTAAGAGTTTAAAAAACAGTACAATACCTGAGCAAATTGCAATTCGTGCCCAAAAACCTCCAATGGCATCTCAAAGGTAGTTGGGGTATTTAATCTGGTAAATGGAATGTTTATATCACACAACAAATTATACTTGATACAAAAAAGAAAAAAAAAATCATTCAAGTCTCTCAACCGCTATAGGTTCGGTCGTGCAATTGTGATAATACAAGAAATTCTCAACTCTGCTATACAATAAATATAACTGGTTTTTTTTTGAAGAATACCTGTCAGCTTCCATGAGATCCCAACTCTGCTATAGAAATTCTCAATAGCAAATATGAACCTAAAAGTTCTATTTTCAGCTGAATCACGGAAAGAAAAACCTAAAACCCAAAAATATACATATTAATGCCACAAAGAAAATTGAACTTTAATGAGACTTTGAAGCGAAAATAAGAGAAAAATACAGGGTGAGAAAGCGAAAATACCAGCTGTATCCCAGAGGCCTAAATTGACAGTTATGCCTTCAAAAACGCCGGAAGACGCGGTCTTAATGCAAGAATCAAAACTGTTCAGCATGTATACACATATTAAACAAAAAAATCAGCAAGTAATTAAACTTACTATCGATATTTAGTTCTTGGACAACGCTCTCAAAAGTATCTTGGATCAAAAGTCGTTGGTTGTGTTGTGGCTTCAAAATAATGAGTCATAAGACTCCAAAAAATTCAGCAATACTGCAAATACAACTAGAAACATTAGAAAACATACAATTTTACAACTACTGCAAATTTAGCTTCTGAATATTCAGGAAGTCTTTAACCTGAAGTTGTTTCAAGCACAGCCAGAAGGCTGTGACTGAGTCTGAGCAGACGAAATTTCAGCAAATCCTATTACACATATTAAAAGGCATTGACATTGAGGTGAGCAGCAGGGAATGAAAGTAATATTTCAGCAACATATTACAAAATAAATTAAACAACCACACTTAAGATAAAAATAATACCTTGTAAAGCATCTTCCGAAATCTCATACTCCTCATTGAATTCCAAGTCTTTGAATTGGTAAAAGGAAGGCCTCAACCAGTTCTGAGCACAAATTAATGCCTCCGCCATTTCTGGTTTGAGAGAGCTTCTATATACCTCTAAAACCCTTCCACCCGTGCTAAAAGCACTCTCAGAAGCTACGGTTGACACTGGCGTTGGCATGATATCCCTAACTATTTGGGACAGAACTGGGTATTTCCCGACATGATGTTTCCACCAACCAAGAATGTCAAAAGTGTCTTTATCCTTTTCATTAAAACTTATGCACTTTCCTTTTATATAGTTTTGAAGTTCAGTTTCTTCTTCAACTGCATCCAAAGACATCAAATGTTGTTGAAACGCATTTGCCCTAGCTACGGATGTGGGTAATTCATCGCTGGCTGCTGTTTCACCATGAGAAACAGCCGCTGCAACAGATGGAATTAAGCCTCCAGCAGTGTCGTATTGTTGTTTATAAAGGTTGAACATGGTTAAAAGATTGTCATTTATATCTTTTAATAGTGATTTACTAGTTTCCGAATTTTT